ACGACAATGACGACAACGACGACGATGACGACACACGACGACAACGAACGACGACGAAGGGCGAGGAGGCCGAAGCCGACGACGATGCCGACGACGCCGGACGACGAAGACGAACGACGACGACGGATACGACGACAACTACGACGATGACGACAAACGGCGACAACGAACGACGACGACGCCGACGACGACGACAACAACGGCGACCAACCACGACGAACAACGACGACGACGAACAACGACAACAACGGCGATTACGACGAACCACGACGACGAACGACAAGGAGACAACGACGAAGACGACGGCAACGACGAAGATGACGACGAACGACGACAACGCACGACGACGATGACGACGACGAACGGCGACGAGGCCGATGCCGGCGACGAGGCCGACGACCATGAACGACGACGACGAACGACAAAGATGACGACGACGATGACGACGACAACAAACGACGATGACGACGAAAGACGACGAGGCCGACGCCAACGACGAGGCCGACGACGACGAAGACGACGACAACGAAAGACGACGATGAACGACGACGACGACATACGGCGACGAGACCGAGACCGACGACGAGGCCGACGACGACGAACGACGACGAGAAACGACGACGACGAAGACGACGACAACGACGATGACGACGAACGACAACAATGACGACGAGCAACGACAACAAACAACGACGACGACGACGAACGGCGACGACGACGAGGCCGACGACGACGACGACGTCGACAACGGCGCCGACGATGACCACGACAAACAACGACAACGAACGACGACGAATGACGACGAAGGACGACGCGGCCGAGGCCGACGACGTGGCCGACGACGACGAAGACGACGACGAACGGCGACGACAACGAACGATGACGAAGACGACGACGACGACGACTACGGACGACGACGCACGACGACGAACGACGACGACGAACGACGAAGATGACGAAGACGACGACAACACGACAATGACGACGAACGACAACAATCACGACGAACGACGACAACGAACAACGACGACTAACGCCAAACGACGACGAGGCCGAGGCCGACGACGAGGCCGACGACGACGAACGAAATCTAAGACGACGACAAATAACGACAACGAACGACGACGAACGACGACGAGGCCGAGGCCGAGGACAAAGCCGACGACGACGAAAGACGACGACGAATGACGACGACGACGAGGCCGACGACGATGACGACGAATGGCGACGAAGAACGACGACGAAGACGACAACGAACAACGACGAGGCAACGGGCGACGACGCCGCCGACGACGACAAACGACGACGACCAACGATGACGACGACGACGAACGACGACGATGACGACGAAAGACGACAACGAACGACGACGACGACGCCGACGCCAATGACGACGACGACGAACGACGACGATGACGACGAACGACGATGACGAGCGACGACGAAGGGCGAGGAGGCCGAAGCCGACGACGAGGCCGACGACGACGGACGACGAAGACGAATGACGACGACGAATACGACGACAACTACGACGATGACGACAAACGGCGACAAAGAACGACGAAGACGACGCCGACGACGACGACGACGATCGACAACAACGAACGACGCCGACGACGACGACGATGACGACGAACGGCGACGAGGCAGAGGCCGACGACGAGGCCGACGACGACGAACGACGACGACAAACGACGACGACGAAGACGACGACAACGACGACGATGACGACGATCGACGTCAACGAACCACGACGAACGACGACGACGACGCCGACGAACGGCGACGAGGCCGAAGGCGACGACGTGGCCGACGACGACGAACGATGACGAGGCCGAAGGGGCCTGAGGGGGGGCGGGGGGGCGTTGCGCAGGTGGTTAAGGGGAGGGGGGTAGGCTTCTTAGGAGGTTGCTATTTAGAATGCATCGGCCCTGCATCTGCACACAAAGCCCGCACCTATTGAGAAGCAGCCTCCATCTAAGACGCCTTCCCCCTGCGAAGCGCCCCTTCGGCCTCGTCGTCTTTCGGCCTCGTCGTCGTCGTCGTCGCTGTCGTCGCCGTCGACGTCGTCGCCGACCTCGTCGGCCTCGTCGTCTTCGGTCGTCGTCGTCGTCGTCGCCGTCGTCGCCTTCGGTCGTCGTCGTCGCCTTCGGTCGTCGTGGTCGTCGTCGTCATCGTTGTCGTCGTCGTCGTCCTTCCCCGCTCGGGCCCCTTCGGCCTCGTCGTTTTTCGGCCTCGTCGTCGTCGGCCTCGTCGGCATCGTCGTCTTCGGTCGTCGTCGACGTCGTCGCCGTCGTCGCCTTCGGGCGTCGAGGTCGGCCTCGTCGGCCTCGTCGTCTTCGGTCGTCTTCGGTCGTCGTCGTCGTCGCCGTCGTCGCCTTCGGTCGTCGTCGTCGCCGTCGCCATCGTCGTCGTCGTCATCGTCGTCGTCGTCGTCCTTCCCCGCTCGGGCCCCTTCGGCCTCGTCGTTTTTCGGCCTCGTCGTCGTCGCTGTCGCCGTCGTCGTCGTCGCCGTCGTCGCCTTCGGTCGTCGTCGCCGCCGCCGTCGCCTTCGGTCGTGGCCGTCGTCGCCGTCGGCCTCGTCGGCCTCGTCGTCTTCGGCCGTCGTCGTCGTCGTCGTCGTCGCCGTCGTCGCCTTCGGTCGTCGTCGTCGCCGTCATCGTCGTCGTCGTCATCGTTGTCGTCGTCGTCCTCGTCGTCGTCGCCGTCGTCGTCGTCGTCGGCCTCGTCGGCCTCGTCGTCTTCGGTCGTCGTCGTCGTCGTCGTCGCCGTCGTCGCCTTCGGCCGTCGTCGTCGTCGTCGTCGGCCTCGTCGGCCTCGTCGTCTTCGGTCGTCGTCGTCGTCGCCGTCGTCGTCTTCGGTCGTCGTCGTCGCCGTCGTCGTCGTCGTCATCGTTGTCGTCGTCGTCGTCCTTCCCCGCTCGGGCCCCTTCGGCCTCGTCGTCTTCCAGCCTCGTCGTCGTCCTCGTCGTCGTCGTCCTCGTCGTCGTCGCCGTCGTCGTCGTCGGCCTCGTCGGCCTCGTCGTCTTCGGTCGTCGTCGTCGTCGTCGTCGCCGTCGTCGCCTTCGGCCGTCCTGGTCGTCGTCGTCGTCGGCCTCGTCGGGCTCGTCGTCTTCGGTCGTCGTCGTCGTCGCCGTCGTCGCCTTCGGTCGTCGTCGTCGCCGTCGTCGTCGTCATCGTTGTCGTCGTCGTCGTCCTTCCCCGCTCGGGCCCCTTCGTCCTCGTCGTCGTTCGGCCTCGTCGTCGATGTTATCGCCGTCGTCGTCGTCGGCCTCGTCGGCCTCGTCGTCTGCGGTCGTCGTCGTCGTCGCCGTCGTCGCCTTCGATCGTCGTCGTCGTCGTCGTCGGCCTCGTCGGCCTCGTCGTTCTCGGTCGTCGTCATCGTCGTCGCCGTCGTCGCCTTCGATTGTCGTCGTCGCCGTCGTCGTCGTCGTCTTCGCCCTTCCCCGCTCGGGCCCCTTCGGCCTTGTCGTCTTTCGGTCATCATCATCGTTGTCGTCGCCGTCGTCGTCGTCGTCGTCGGCCTCGTCGTCTTCGGTCGTCATCGTCATCGTCGTCGTCGTCGCCGTCGTCGCCTTCGGTCGTCGTCTTCGTCGTCGTCGTCGTGGTCCTCGCCGGCCTCGTCGTCTTCGGTCGTCGACGTCGTCGCCGTTGTCGCCTTCGGTCGTCGTCGTCGACGTCGTCGCCGTCGTCATCGTTGTCGTCATTCGTCGTCGTCCTTCCCCGCTCGGGCCCCTTCGGCGTCGTCGTCTTTCGGCCTGCTCTTCGTCGATGTCGTCGTCATCGCCGTCGACATCGTCGTCGTCGGCCCCTTCGGCCTCGTCGTCTTCGGTCGTCGTCGACGTCGTCGCCGTCGTCGCCTTCGATTGTCGTCGTCAGCCTCGTCGGCCTCGTCGTCTTCGGTCGTCTTCGGTCGTCGTCGACGTCGTCGCCGTCGTCGCCTTCGGGCGTCGTCGTCGGCCTCGTCGGCCTCGTCGTCTTCGGTCGTCTTCGGTCGTCGTCGTCGTCGCCGTCGTCGCCTTCGGTCGTCGTCGTCGCCGTCGCCGTCATCGTCGTCATCGTTGTCGTCGTCGTCGTCGTCGTCGTTCCCCGCTCGGGCCCCTCCGGCCTCGTCGTCTTTCGGCCTCGTCGTCGTCGTCGGCGTCGCCGTCGTCGTCGTCGTCGTCGTCGTCGTCGGCCTCGTCGGCCGCGTCGTCTTCGGTCGTCGTCTTCGGTCGTCGTCTTCGGTCGTCGTCGTCGTCGTCGGCCTCGTCTTCTTCGGTCGTCGTCGTCGTCGTCGTCGTCGTCGCCTTCGGACGTCGTCGTCGCCGTCGTCGTCGTCATCGGCGTCGTCGTCCTTCCCCGCTCGGGCCCCTTCGGCCTCGTCGTCTTTCGGCCTCATGGTCGTCGTCGCCGTCGTCGTCGTCGTCGTCGTCGGCCTCGTCGGCCTCGTCGTCTTCGGTCGTCGTCGTCGTCGTCGCCTTCGGTCGTCGTCGTCATCATCGGCCTCGTCGGCCTCATCGTCTTCGGTCGTCGTTGTCGTCGTCGTCGTCGTCGCCTTCGGTCGTCGTCGTCGTCGCTGTCATCGTCGTCAACGTTGTTGTCGTCGTCGTCGTCGTCCTGTCCCGCTCGGGCCCCTGCGGCCTCGTCGTCTTTCGGCCTCGTCGTCGTCGTCGTCGCCGTCGTCATCGTCGTCGTCGGCCTCGTCGGCCTCGTCGTCTTCGGTCGTCGTCGTCGTCGCTGTCGTCGTCGCCTTCGATCGTCGTCGTCGCCGTCGCCGTCGTCGTCGTCGTCATCGTTGTTGTCGTCGTCGTCCTTCCCCGCTCGGGCCCGTTCGGCCTCGTCGTCTTTCGGCCTCGTCGTCGTCGTCGTCGCCGTCGTCGTCGTCGTCGTCGTCGGCCTCGTCGGACGCGTCGTCCTCGGTCGTCGTCGTCGTCGTCGTCGTCGCCGTCGTCGCCTTCGGTCGTCGTCGTCGTCGTCGCCGTCGTCGTCGTCGTCGTCTGCGCGTGGCCGAGGGGGGGC